TTTTTTAGATTGTTCATCCCACGTCCAAGCCGATTGATTGAATCTCTCTGGATGCCTCCCCTCCTCGCTACCACCCGAATCATGCATGGTCAAATGAGTGAAGAACTGGCTGGAACCGGTCATGGATTCCGAAGCCTACTTGGCAGGCATATTCGACGTAGAACCGCTCTTATTATGAAGGACGGTTGTTCTAATAAAGTGAATGTTAACAGCTGCATAGGCGGATGTAGCGTTTTTCAACCACATGTAACCGAACTATTCACGGCAACTCAAGCGCATATTCAAAATCGCAAACACTTCCATGTGGTTCTGGATGAGGCGGACGTATGGATGGATCGTCATATCGTCTCCTATGGAGGTGACAATCTCTTTGTCGCTGTGATTTTGCGAAATCTATGAACAGGGCGACTGAATTCGACCAAGCAATTCTTAGTAGGATACATCTCAAAGTCAAATATGATGGCTTGACTAAACAGTGCGCGTCGTGATATCTGGGAGTTTTTCCTCCCAAAAGCAAACATTAATCAGGGCCTTGCTGTTGTTGACGACGCTGAACTCCCACACTTGGAATCCATAGGACACGATGTTAGTAATTCTAGACGATTGGCTAGATCGTCAGCTCACACTATCAGATCAAAACCTCACATCTATTACGCACGTATTAGCCAGTGACGATGGACACCAAATGAACTATGAGATCACAGTGTATCCATGGGTTAGAAGCGTCGCTTTCACTAGGTAGCCCGTCCGGCCGCGCACATGTAGTGGTTCGAATCCCTCGTTTCGATTCCGTACGAGTTGACGGTGACGGCTGCGCGTGAACTCGGCCGGACCTATCAAATGTCTCTGGCCACCAGGATGACGTTGTAAGTTGGGGCACGCTTTATCCAGAGGATCTCGGTTGAGTATTCCGCGTATGCAGGCCATGGTGCAATACGCTTGTGTAGTTTGGCTGCCCTTTTGAGAGTTGCGCCCAACTTTAAATCTGTCACGCCTACCTGGTGACTGCTGTCTGTTGCTGCGGGTGCGACTCGATCGGTTACGCGCCGCTGCTGCGGTGGATGGAGAGTGCGATCCCCCATCACTGCCGCTATCTTCAGCCGACGAATGCTCTGGAGGAGATTCACCTGGTTGAAAGTGAGCGCGGTAGCGTGTGTTATGTATCTTCAGTTCTCGTTTCCAGTGCGACGGTCGATAGTCAGAGGCCGGTGGGTCTTTACGTATAGTTTCGGGGATATCCCGCAGGATATCTAGATATTCAACTTTCCAAGTAGTGAGCTGCTTGTGCGCTGTATCATGCCACTCTTGAGATGGAGGCTCGCCGGTTAGCGTTTTAAGGGTGAATGCAAGCACCTGACCGATAGGCTTACCTCTCTCAAATCCTGTACACTCTACAAAGCACGCTTTGTGGTCTCTAACGTCTGGTGATAAAATGTCACGCTGTGATCGTGCCAATGGAACAATTACTATACACAAGGCTGTGTATGACCAGTGTATTCTACGGATTATGGAGTGAAACTACTCGAACTGTATCTCGGCTAGTTGCAATTGTAAATATTATTATTCTAAAAAGGGCATACCCTTGTCTGAATCAAGCTAACTAAACAGATCTTCAATTAAAATTTTAGCTTATGTGAACATCCCAAAATTGAGTCTTCACTTGTACGTACGCCGTGTCTATAAGTGGTCATGATAGTATCGGGAATATCCATCCATATGTAGTGATCTACTCCAACAGGTGGAAGAATGTGTACAAAGATGAACACTCTTGTCAATATCTCGATGGGTGCACATACAATAAGAGAAGGGAAATGACACCTGATTGTTGTATACCCAAGTAGATCTGCTTGCATACGTCCTGAAATAGAGGACTATTCTTTTCTCGCTGGGATATATCATCAAAGAATGCGAAAACCGGAAAACAAAGAGTTTACCATGCAAACCAGTAAAGATATGATTTATATAATATTAACCATAGATCCGTAGGGGAAGTATCCAATTAACCGCTGTCTGCCCAGTCTATAATTTCATTGACCCCTCTACCTTATGATGTCTTTAATACAGATCATCAATATAACATGGAGAAAAGCTACGCCAATCAACTTTTTATATCTCACTGAAATATGTTGGACTTTGGCATTTATCTCAGATACTTATTCACTACTCCAGGACGCCATCTCTTTGGACTATTTATTTGCCCTTCCTTCTCTTTCCTTTCTATTCTTCTGTCTTCATGTATCTTCTCAGAGCTACCCGAAAGCCAAACTGTTACAGCCCCGGCAATGTCTGCGATTCTGTTCCCACAATATAATAGGCGACTAGAACCAGCGCACAATAGTCAAGAAGGCAGCTCAACAAGTCAGCAAGGCTACTTCCACTATGAACGTTCTTTTGACAATGATCTTTCCCAAACATCATCTTGTTAGTCACCCTGTCTGATATCTCCCTTGGAACTGTAGTGCATGTGCAATCAGTGGCTGTGCCAGTGGGTGATAGTACTAGTATACTGCAAATGAAGACCTATGCCTTCTCTGCGTAGGTATTGGCCAAACGATCACCGATAATCTTCATTTACAGAGGGGCAGTATTATCAACTATTGGAATGTAACCACGATCCCTGGAATGAGCCGATGCCGCGAGACATAGTACCCCGTATACTAGTCCACGCGGTGGACCATATCAAAACCCCAACCGGACAGATATCTAGCGAGCCTACATATTCTCTTTGGTACTCTGCGGGAAAGGTCTTATACCCGCCACGGGTAACCCTGATGCGCTACATTGCTGTAACGAAAGCAAGGCCCTGTCACAGGTAGAAAAAGGGATTCATTAGTCAATGCTCTGTTTGTTTATAGTAGAGAAACTGCGCAAGCAACAAGACGTAGGCGCCTTTCGATGTATGGGTTCTGCGGTGACGGTAACTATGATATCTTTGTGAAGGTCCCTTGGGACAAGTCAAGCGACATAACATTTCACACAATAAAGATAATATCCGCGAAAATTAGAAATGGACTGCAGGAAGATTTCCGTCTGCATTATCTAGATTGCCCAGAGGTTTGCAAACGCTACGCCCTCGAGTGAAATGTGTAACTGAGTCCCATCCAAATATCACCATACATAGTGAGCTACAAGATATGATTGAGAACAAACATCTCCATGACTTATAAACGGACGATTCGGTGAAATAAAGGCTCACCATTATTTGTTATTCTGCGGATTGTCAATACAGTGGAAACACTTCTTTACGACTTTGCATTATTTCCCTTCAAAATTTAGTTTTTATATCTAATTCCTATTTATTCGTATCCATTCGTATCCATTCTTGGATATCAGACTGTCTCTTGTTCTGGTAATAGATATACGGGGGGTTAGATGAGGTCTTAGCTACATAGTAAATGCCGCCAAAGTCCACTAGACCATATATATATCCTGAAGATATAACCATCTTTCTGTCGCAAGTATATAATACCAACAGATCTCTATCCAGACCGAGTCAGCATTAAAAATTGCTCCAGTCCCGTTCTAAAATATATCCATGCCATAGAAAACATATATCGAGTTATTTGGTTCTCTTCGGGGTTACTATGCTTTGCTCAGTCACACCCACAGATAAGAGCTTAGCCATCGGAAGAAACCTGGGAAGAATTATCAGCACACTATTCAGTAGTTTTAATATAACTAGAAGGAATCGTCCCCAAAGTAAACAAAACTCATCCAGTCTATCTCGCAGTGCCAAAAATCACATATTATTTATCGATGATTTGATCAAGGAACAGGAGGAAGAGTTGCAGAGTAACTTCATGAAATACATATGGCAGACTAGGTATTTCCCATGAGAAGTCAAAATGTCCGTAGACGGACTCTGGGGAGCAAGTCAACTCAGAAATGCTCCTCTGAGTGTATTCAAGCAGTGAGGCCTTTCGGTGAAGTTGAAGCAAAAAGTTAAAAAAAAAAGATAGCGTAACTATCTACTCGTCGTCCCAGGTGAGGATCGAACTCACAACCTCCTGATTAACAGTCAGACGCGCTAACCAATTGCGCCACCGAGACGATGATATATTTTTAAGCTTTTTATTTGATTCTATAAGGCAGAATATTTTGAATACTAGCTTGAAGCACCAACTCTAAGCAGTCCACTAGCATAATAAAGCAGTGATAAATAACTACCTAATAGGTAAGGTTACTAGGAACTATAATAGACGTGCTGAATTACGATGAGATCCATTTGCACACTAATAATGAATTAAAAATGGGGGCCACCACCGCTAATAGGCGACAATCTGATGTGAACATTGCTTGCATACGGGCATATTTCGGTACCTAGACCATGAACAGAAACGGAAGGCAGGTGTTATTACATTGAATGTCTTGCAACTTAAAACTGAGCGTCTGGCTCTACTCTTTGTGATTCTACCTGTTATGGCCCTGAGCTGTTTGTGCAGCGTTGCTATATATAACAACAAGGTCGTAGGCACTTTGATTGGCCTACTGGACGTTTCAAGTCCCAGCAACTCGTGGCGGTTCTGTATTGTATGAGGCTCGAACTTTCTTGTAATAATGATATTATTCTTGACTACCCGTACCTCAGGCGTCCCTGGCTCCTATGGAACGACTTCGATAGTGCTGCACTTTGCAATGACAAGCAACTGAGGAATAGAGGCGAGATGACATTATACTGAGCCAGAGAACGATTGTAATAGCAGAAGAGGGAAGCCATGGTGTGAAGAAATGAGTAGAAGAGAGCTAAAGGGAGCTCCAAGCCATGTTAGATCAATGTGTCCGAGGTAGAAGGCTATATACCCGACCGCGACCACAGGATGACATTGCTCGACCCTCTTTGATTATGAATGAGAACAAGACAAACCCAACTAGCTCCACCGATTCACTGTCACATTGGATCTGATTCTGATCCCTTTGCGTTAGGGTGACTTGTCTATGTCCCTCTATCTTATACGACTTTTGTAACGATTATTGCAAAGTTATCGGAGTACTACAGTAGTTGTATACTCTTGAGTCTGGCAAGTTGACGCACGGAGAATTCTATGCCCTAGACTTTTTACTCTTAAAGCATATAATTTTAAATTTATCAAGATCTCGTCTCGGTGGCGCAATTGGTTAGCGCGTCTGACTGTTAATCAGGAGGTTGTGAGTTCGATCCTCACCTGGGACGGTTAACTTTTTTGCACCATACCCATGGTATGTATATATATATATATACA